TTTTAAGCTTGTAAACTTGAGCAGCCTTCTTGAGCTTAGCTGATTCAGCCTTTTGAAGTTGTTGCTCCTTCTCTTCATGCTCCTTCACTGTCTGACAAACACGGGCTTCCCTAAACTTCCTTGGTGACCAAACAACAGCCCCACCATGATACTCCTTGCGCTGCTGAAGGTCTAGAGGTTTGCTATGCTTCTGACGCTTATTCTTATTAAGTAGAGCTTCTCTAAGTCCCTTAACTTCATGTAGGAGTAGCTGGTTTTGAACTGAAATAGAATGAAGTAAAAGGCTTAGCTTCTTTGCCTCCTTTGTGGCCTTGTCCTTCACAGCTGAATGTATCAGCCGGTTTATTTTCCTCCAATCCAAAGTACTGGATATTGAGACAGAGCTCTCATGTTGTGGTGGAGCAGAAGTGACATCACGTGTGCAGATGTGGGCCAAGGAGTGTTTGGATGCCCAAGAAAACACACAGGTACTAAACCGTTGAGTGGAGCAAGTTGCCCATTTTTGCTATCCTTGTGGAAGGCAGAACAATCTCTTTGCAGGGAGCTTGCATGCAGTTGAGCGTAAGAGCAGGGAGAGAGCGCGGAACGCGCGGAGAGAAGGCAGAAGGGAGGGAGGCTGGCTTTGTAAAACAAAGTACATTGCGCATGGCGCAATGTACAAGTAGTTGTATTATATGCAGATGTAGCGCAATCGTGATGCCTTATGTGTGATACTTGTGATGTTTGTAATCTCTGTGATTGATGGTTATGTTTATGTCTCTCTTGTGCCATGTCATAGGGATACTCCAAAAATAATGAGGGTGACCTATGCTGACTTACGCACGCCGCCTGGCGCGCCACATCCTTGCGCACACTCTGTGCAACGGCACAGTACTAGACAGACAGACACCACAACAGAATAGCACATAACTTGCCTTTGGGCGTCAAGCCCTACCTACACCACCACAACGTGAATCTGGATCATCTGGGGTAGTGTTTGTAAACCTTTTGAGTATAACTTCTAGGTTGAGAGGTGATAAAACCGTTGCTTCAAAAGACCTGAGTATTGTTGTTTCTTTGAAGGAGCTCTCCCATGCCTTCCAGAATAGGGG